ACGGAGTGGGAGAAATCAACTTTGAAAACATAAACCTACGCAACGGAGCCTACACTGCACTGAAGTCATACTCCCAAAGTAAACTAGCTAATATACTATTTACTAGAGAATTGGCTAACCGTCTGGGGCCTAACTCAACGATTAATACCTATGCACTACATCCCGGAGCTGTCAGCACTGACTGGTACCGAAACAGTAATTCTGGGATCAAATGGTTTTTAAAGATCGTGGGAAAGCCGTTCATGTGTTCGCCTGAGAGGGGCTGTCAGACAACCCTTTACTGTGCGCTCGAGGAGTCATTGGACAGAGAATCAGGATTTTACTATTCGTAAGACTTATTATAATACTTATTATAATACAGTTACAGTTTATATTCATTTTTTAAATTATTTTTTGTTATGTTTTTATGACAGCAATTGTTTACTCGTGGATAACATGTATGCGAACGCGACGGACGATAAAAGTGCGGAACTGTTGTGGGAATTGAGCGCAGATTTGGTTCAATTGGAGGATAAATATAAATTGTGAAATGTGCCAGAGTCAAAATATTGAGTTATTCGATTGCATGCTTACATTCACTTATTATATGTTAAATTATAGACTGTGTGATATGTGTATTAAACAAAACTATATTTTTGCTTAAAATAATAAATTTTATTGATGAACGTAAAGTTATAACTAAAACATTTTGAAAAGTTTAAATTAAAGTCGTTTTAAAAAAGTTTATTTAAGGCTTCAACTCATAGACACCGAAGAATAGTGGACCCAAATAGAATTCAAACTTCTTGGAGTGGTTCACTGAAAACTGATCATAATCGGTCACCGCATAGGCCGTCTCACCAATAGTCACCTCATAAGCCAGGTATGAATCGCTGACGATCCTCGAGACCTGAGCGTAACAGTTGTTGTTGACAAAACGTCCCATATCTTGCTCCTCTAAACGTAAGCAACTTTCTGTCTGGAAATCTTTGCTCACATCCATGAATATCTTGATAATTTTGTCGGCGTTCTCGTTCACCTCGGTTATATTCATGTTGTAGTATTGAATGACGCTATATTTTGATTCTCTAGCTTGGTTAATTCGCTCCAAAATATGTTTACCCTAATTAAGAAATAAATAACTGATTAATGGGTTTTAACATATCAATGTATTAACAATAATTTAATGTATTATCGATTGTTAGAAATATAGTTATAAAATAAATAAGTTTTATAATTACGGCGGCAGTTATGTCGGCGTTTTTAGTGGTTATGGGTGTCGACACCACTGCTTGAATAGCAATACACACAACGATTGTCTGAAAATACATAATTTTGTTATGAAAATGGTTTAGTAGTAGTTATTCTCAATTAACTAATTATTAAACTGATGATCTTTAATGAATGTTCACCTGTCTATTTATACCAAATATTATCAATAAATAATCGATTGGAAAATCATGTTGTAATCAAATTTGTAGGAATTATATTTCTATCAAAAATATGAAAGCATTCATATCCCAAGAAATCTAGCACATTAGCGATTAGTTATGTTATATCATTATCCTACTAACAGGTGGGAATAAATTGTATTAATTTTGATGATATAAAATCGAAATAATATAAAAACAATTATATTTAAATGTATAGTCCAACACTCCATTAGCCCTCCCGATCGTGTATTTCAGTTAAGTATCCTTTAAGTTGTAACACCTTTTAAAGGACTAGAGGTCAGTTTGTATAGAATAGCAATGTTCAACTCAGATTTATATGTTAGTGAGCTACAC